TCGACGAGCGTGATCCACAGCTTGTTTTCACACCAATCAATGCCACCAGCGAACCTATGTGGATCCGGTCAGTCACTGACCAGTCCCGGCAGTTGGAATCAGGGACTACCAACCTGACAGGCCTGGCCAGTGTCTGATTCACAAAGGCTTTTTCAGACAGATACCTTTAGTCTGGTAGCGTCTGGTCTGCACCGTAGGACTGTCACGTACCTATAAGCAAATATCAGATTGGTATTCTCTTATCAGCAGCTGAATAGGACATACCGGGCTGACGTGTCGTGAGCAGAAAAAGGGAGACTGGTCGGGGATGGCCAGGCTCTGTCAGACCAACGGTGCTGGTCAGATGGTGTCGGACTGGCTGAACTGATCTGACCCCATCAAAGTTCTTAAGCTGATCAGATGCTGGCAGACTGAGAGATAGATATAGGGATCCCTAGAAATTGGTGGAGGCAGCCTCGCAAACACAGAAAAAGGTATGAACACAGGCAAGTTGTATTGAAAGTACCTACATACATACGGAATCTACAGGTACATACTTCTACGTGGGGGCCGGCAGCTGTTCATCGCGTACATACTACCGCCATCCTTCACTCTTCGCAACAACCTACAGAATTCGCATATAAGCAAGTTGATTCGATGAGCAGTAATAGTAGAAAGAATCTACGTACCTCTGAAATCCTAGATGTGTAGACCCATAGTGGCCTGGGGCATTCGGCAGAACTAGCTAGTATACATAGTCAGCTCGCGGACATGTAGCTATAGATTTGGCGGGAACACACCTGTATCCAAAACCTAATTCGGGGTAGTGACCACCTGCTAACGAACGAAGAAGGACCTCTCTAACCATCGACCGATAGCCTGTGTTGTGATTGCGAGGTGGACAGTTAGGTTTGCAAGTGTCGTGGGTGTAGGACAATACACGGTGGTAGTGGGAGAGATGATGGCGGGAGGGGGGAAAGGAGGGATGGGTGAAATTGGGACGGCGTTGGGTTTATATACCTGGGAGATGGACCGTGCGGCGGGTTGTGAAAGTAGCCCGTTCGCAAATTGATGACGCCGGTGACGACGCATACGTCACCGACGTTGTGCAATGGTCCAAAGACTGCTGGAGGCTGGAGCTAGCGAGTGTAAAACTGCGACGTTGAGTCCATCCTGAGTTTGACTCAGGATACAAGGCGTTTGTCATTGTTGGACATTGTAATGATTGTTCGATTTGTAGATCCGAATGAAGACCGAGAACTAGTTAAGAGTAATCAGTATCTAGAGACTATCGTTCGAATAAAATAAAATCGCCAACTCGGCCACGCACCTGGTAAATCCCATCTCACTTCCAAAGTCCAAACCCCACCGAGCTGTATTCCTTGGTCAATTTCCAGGTTTTTGGTACTCGTATAGATCACAGTGGTGACCAGGCAACCAGTCCATACGATAAGCACGAGATAGTGAGTTTTAAAGGTGATGGTGGTGGTAGAGGGTCAAGAGCAGCACGTGTCAGTAACGTATCGGTCACCGAGAACTAGCTCACCGGCGGTACCAATTTCAGCGCAAGCGCCCGTGGGACAGGTATCCAGAATCAATTTGAATCAGATACGGTATACCCCGATGTTGGTTCGACGGCAACGACGATATTGATAACGACACGACAAGTAACTCAAGTATGTTGTACCCACAATACCAAGATATTGTGCGGCGAGCACTGACTGAACACGCACCAGCATGCTGTGATCACCACTTGGATAACCATCTCAAAGTCTGATTCAGCCCGAACAGTCTAACCTCAACCCATCATGCTTTGATACTCTCATTTCCTTCCGGCTTCTACTGACCGCTTATTTATCATACCTTGACAGCCTGAGAGCTCTCTGGTGCGTGTCGGGCACAACAAAGCCATTCTGTCTTCGTCTGATCAGGATTCTCCGTTCCGATGTGCTCTGACCACTCACTGGTCACCGACTGATAATGTACGCTTGCCCTGACGTGTTCTGTCCAGCTACTGATCATCTACTGTTCAGGCCCCACTATTCTGCCTTGACCTGATTATGCGCTGACCACGGTAGTTCATCCTAATGGTACGTTGCCATCGACTGATTATCTACTATTAGATTGAGCGAGTATGTACAGTGACTGATCTATGGCTACCATACTGTCGCTTCCAGGTCATCGCCGTCAGACACTGATCGGATCCCCATAGTTTTGCTGGTGGCTTGGTTCCGTGGAGGAACCGTGTTCGAGTATATGGGAACGACGATGGGAACGAGGACTGCGGGCGCACGACTAAGTTTCAACTTCACGGGTATGTGTGACTCTACCCGCCCTCACTTGTTGATGAACTTTGGCGTTGTCACTTTAGGTACAGGTGTCGAGGTGTTTGGTACAATATCCTCTAATCTATCCAGCTCTACTGTTTCAAACACTTTTACCATCGATGGCGGAGCCTCAGTGGAATGGTCACAAAAACCTGGTTTAATCGCATTACACCACCGCACAATGTTCAGTGCACAAGGATTACATGGCGCGGCACATAAGCTCGTTATGGAGGTTATGGTGAAAGACAGTGAAACTTGGGTAGACTATCTCGTAGTCAATGCTTCCACCGAAAGCTCAGTCAACTTGCCTCCGAGCACGCCCACGTCCTTCACCCACGGCAACAATACTGGTGAAACCTCTCAGACCATGGCAACCTCGGCCAGCTTGCCTCCAGAAGCGCCCAGGTCCTCCACGCAAAGAAACGTTTTTTCGCCGGGCGCTGTTGCTGTTACTACCGTCGGGGTACTGTCAGGACTTTTTCTGGTGCTTTTGCTCACCATGTGGGGTCTACGGCGGAGATTGAAGAAGAAAAGCGGGGAGACTGAAGCGGCTCAGATGAACCAGATGAACTGTGGGTGGCTTGGTTGCTCGAGAATCGGTCGCTATTAACTCCTATGAACTTTCTTGTTCTTCGTAATAGGGAGATCGGCGCCCTGGTTAGCAAACTCGCGGTCAGAGACCCAAATTCGACCCTTCCTACTATTTGCGAGCATTGTCCAGGATTCAAGAAAGAATGCTAAACAACCATCATCGTCGGGCTGTGTACCGCAGCCCAACCCCGTTAGAGATAATGGCCTTGACCACCAGCCGAACACCCTTCACCTAGACGACCCACCATCTTATGCGTTGTAGAGGAAGGTCTTGGTTAGTCAAAGGCGAATGAGTTGCTAGTACTTCAAGCTCTCAGGCCTGTTCATTCTCCTCTATACCTGCTTAGATCGTACATACCGTGTGGTATCCGATTCGATGGCGTGTTGATCACAAGTGTACAGTGCTCTGGCAAACTTCATGTGACATGTTGCACCAGCACGAATATCTTCACATCTTCAGCAGCCGACCATTACAATTCGGGGGAGGGGGTAGTGCTACGATAACTGATTGATAGATAAACGACCATCGACTCGGGAATGTCGGGAATGTCGGGAACGTCGATCTCGGTTGTGGTCTCGGTTGAGGTCGAGTTTAACGAAGGTTTCTTGTACTTTTTGTGATGCTTCTTGATACTCGACGAGAAATAACTGAGCTTATTCTAGTCTTTGTTCTGGTCGGCAGGCTCTCGTTCCGAGCGGTACAACCCTTGAACCAAATCCGACCATGTCGCTTACCAACGGAGAATTCGTTGTCTATGAGTTTGCAACTCAACTCATCTTAGCTGCGGAATGCTATCCTAGCCTCCATTGCACATGGCTGCCCAAATTATAGATGCATGGCATTGATCAGCTGGTGAGCGATAAAGATGCGTATTTCACAGAATTCGTTCCATTCGAACCCCGCATTCAAAACTCCTCCATACTAGTACAGAATGATCACCCGGATCGACGAGCGTGACCCACAGCTTGTTTTCACACCAACTGACGCTTGGTCTCCTGGAGGAAAGAAGCCCGAATATATGGAAACGACGATGGGAACGACAATTGTGGGGGCACGAGTGAGTTTCAATTTCACCGGTATGGGCAACTCCATCCATTCCTGCTTACTTGTACCACTACTGAATCTTTGCATTCTAGGTACAGGCATCGGGGTGTTTGGGACCATATCCAATAATCGCCAGGCCCCTACCGTTACAAACACGTATACCATCGATGGCGGAAGCCCAGTACAACGTTCACAAAAACCAGTACTTGGTTTTCAACCGCAGTACAATGCGAAAATGTTCAGTGTGCGAGGCTTGGAGGACGGGGCACATAACCTCGTTATGGAGGTCATGGTGAACAACAGCGAAACTTATATAGACTATTTTGAAGTCGAAGGTTCCACCAAAAGCTCGGCCAGCTCGCCTTCAGGTGTGCCCGTGTCCTCCACGCAACAAATTACATCCAGCGCTACTAGCCCACCCGCTCCCACTACGTCTGGTGCGGATGCTGGTGGCGCTCTGTCGCCGGGTGCTACGGTCGCAGCTATATCCATTAGTGGGACTATAGCTTTGACATTGGGTCTATTGTTACTTCGGTGGTGTCTCCGAAATCGAGGCGGTGGCAAGATGAAGGAGAGAAGAACCTATATGTTCCGTGAGTCACATCAGGCCTTGATCCCTTGCCCCGAAGGTTAAGCTGATACCGTTTGACAAGCTCCAACTTCGATTGGGTGGAGTTCAAGGAGTCCCGATTTCTCAACATCCTCTCGACAGCGACAGTCCACGGAAAGCCGTTCATATACCTATACCACTGAAGATTACTCTTCCAACTCCACTTCGAGCTCAATGAAACATGAGTGGTGATTTCGTGGCGAAAAGGTGATTTAATGATCGAGAATCATTTACCAGCCTGATCTATGTGGACCCTTTGATGTCTCTATAGACTGGGACCATTTTGAAGTTCGGCATGCATTTGTATGATATACTCACACCTGAGCAGTGTTGTACTTGACTATGCATTGATACAAGCCCGATCGGCTTTTCATTCGATACTTATAGCTGACGACGTTATTGAGGCTTACCGTTTCAAGCGAGAAAAAGTACGCTCTCGCTACCCACATGCATTAAGAGGGAATCGAACCCCCGGCGGGTCGATGGTTTTGTGATGGCAACGACCCAGGTTACCACTACCCCATTAATGCCTTGTTTGCACTCAACTGCAGCCAGTAACGTCGTATCAACGTGCCTACTGAATGTACAATAGCGTATGCAGAACGACACCAGTACGAAGAAGCCGTTTTATTGGCAACAACTCATGATCCTTGCTCTGCGGTATTACAAATACTTGTTCTCGCTACCCGAAACTCGACTAGTCCATGCAGCGTTGCGAGAGGCACAAGCCTTATGGTTGGAGGGCGAGGAATGCTGGCTGAAGGATGTAATAGAAGTGGTTCAGATGACAGCTCCGGAATGGCCCACTACCGGCGATTCATTCACGTCCCTAGAAGGTGTCGATGATATGATTGCCGGTATAGAGAAATGGACCCGGAACGGAGTACTCACCAACCTTCATAACTCCAAGAAGCTCGCTATCCTCCAAAGGAGATACCCAAAACCACCCTTACCAAAACCCCAACCGACGTGTTCCACCTGCAATCATACCTCCCTGTACCCACCCCGGCCCACCGCAAATCCCTATGCAGACTAGTCACTTCCTGCCACCACCTCGCGATTGAAACCCTCCGGTGGTCGTCGTATGATATTCGCGAGAATAGGCTGTGCCGATTCTGCCAGAGAGCAGTAGAAGATGGACTTCACGCGGTCTTTGAGTGCGACCAGAACACGGAGCTGGTAACTCGAAGACAACGCTTCGACTGTACAATCACATCAGTGAAACGGGAAATACATGAGAGGTATGGGGCGCATGGAGGCATGGATAATTTACCTCCTCCATGCGGCCCATACCAATTCCTGCAAAAAACGTCCATACCTCTGAGGGGGTATGGAAGGTATGGAGGTATGGACACTCAGTCCGCTTGCTCAAAGCTCACAAATTTTATTGTTAGTTTAGTAGTCTCTAGGATACGATACATATTGTGTTTTACTTATGAATGAAGCACAAAGGGAACTTTGCACTCGTATAAAAAACAGTCTTTCTGCGTCACTTATAGGATCCCGTGAGAAACTGTACAGTTTCTCGGGAAATTCCGAGTGGCTTGTCAGGACATCACAGACCAATCAATCTATTGCCGGTCACCACCCGGTTGCAGGCACTTTTCCTTCAATCCCACAAATCTCATGTCCACAAACTATCAAACTCGACGTTTATTTTTTTATCTACGCCCAACGTACGTGTCTCGATATCTACTTGGATATCTGTTTATTGATTTTGCTGATACCAGGATGTCAGTGCTTCAACACATGTCAATCTTGGCTGAAGGGGCAGCTCAAACGGTCAAACCACAGAGTTCATGAGTACGAGTCAAAGATCGATGGTGCGCAATTGTCGTTCACATTCTCTCTTTGACGCTGATGATTCACCAAAGATAACAGGTTTTGACAGTATCTATGCGCAATCGGCCCCAAGGCCATGAACCCAGCTGCATTTGCGTCGTCACATTGCGCCGTCAAGGCACACGGTAAGTGTGTTTGTTCTATCTTGATTGTTCAAGTAAATGGGCCATTGATTTCCAATGATTAGGATATACGGGCGTGAGCACAAAGACAGGAAACCAGCTATGGTCTTGTCGGTCGATCGGACACCGATGGTATCTGCTCAGCTGGTGTAGTGGTATTCTCTCTTTGTGTAGTGTACTTTTGTACCCGTATATAGTGTGGAATGAATTCATTTATTTTCTACTGTCCTAGCTGGCATTGATGTATGGAGACGCATGGAAGGATTGCACAAAACCAGCCGCAATCATGGCTGGTATGGATGCATGGATGGCATAGAGCTGGATTATTCGCTCCATGCATGCCCCCCCTGCTCCATACCGGTATGTCGGAGGTATGGAGCCGCATGGATCCGCATGGATCCATACCTCCATGCATTTCCCGTTTCACTGATGCAGGGAAATAGATTCGGGAGGGTCGACCGACTGGGATAGCGCTAGCGGGATAGAGGTACTGAACAAAACCATGGATGACCCCCGTCTAAGGTCCATCTTGGCATCGTTCGTACACAATGTGCTAGTCATATATGACGCAACTCCTGCATACCGAGCGCCATTCCAGAGGACACTGCAGCCCAGTCAAATGACACATTCATCATTCCGGAGGAGGACGACCATGTCGAAAGCCTATATGCATGAACAGTATGAAGTTTGATTCTATAAAGGAGAAGCAAGAATTGACATAAGCGTGCAGACAGGAGGGGCTATAGCGCTCGTTCCGTATGCTCACGACCGGACCATGAGTTGTTGCCAATAAAACGGCTTCTCCGTACTGGTGTCGTTCTGCATACGCTATTGTACATTCAGTAGGCACGTATTAGTAAATGTACAATAGGTCCCAGTATCCTACGGGGTCCAAACATGGGATGTAGTTCCTAATAAAATGATATCATTTAAATCTCCGATGACGTGAGGCAGTCGCACGTCAAAACCGCAACTGAATCATGTGCTCTGCCTGTGCGGGGCTTTCTTCTAACGTTCATCTCTGATCCTCTGGCTCGAAACTGAGCCTACAGCACCCGTTCACATACCTAAACTCTGCTCAGATCTCGCGCGAATGTTCGCCATGATCTGCCGAGCACACTGGACTCCTTGAAATAAACAACAGAGACTACCCTGGGATCAACTCACCTCACATTAGGCCTCAAGCCCAAGATCCCTTCGTTCGTCTACGTGTCACATAAAACGAGATGTTTTTTTAGCTCTGCTCATTCTCTGTAAGTCTGATTCCGTCTCAATGGACAGCAGTCATCAAGCGAAGGGTGTTGCGAGTACTACAAATTCGGGGGGGGAACTGGGCTTCTCTACTCGCATTCCACAGTCAGATGCTGTTGGACGATACTCACCCATCCATCAAGTTTACTCCGCCTGAGACTTGGACCTTAGCTGGAACCGTGCTTTCCGATTATGATTTAACAACTCATGGAATGACCTTAGCGGGTGCAGTCATGGAGGTATCCTTTGATGGTGAGGCTTCTCGACCTTAGTATTTGGCCCTAGAAATCGACCTTCCCATCGCGACAGGAACATTCATTCAGGTATGTGGAGCACTCGACGTTGATCCCGCCGCACCAGTTGCAGTCAACCTTTTCACTCTAGACAATAAGGATCCCGTACCCCGCTCGCGAGCCCCCTTGTATCTACCCCCCAAAGATTGTTGTTCGAGTCAGGGATGCTCAGGGACGGCATTCATACGCTCAAAATAGAAACCACCGTGAAAGGTAGCAATACCTGGATTGACTACCTGGACATAAGCGGCACGCCTTTTTCAAGCGTGTTTAGCGATCGACCGTCGGTAGAACGATCTACGACGTCCTCGACCTCAACCTCGAGATCATCCCCACCCCTCTCTTCGTCAACCCAATCTACAACACTTCCGTTATCAGCATCGCCGATCTCTTCTACCATCAATTATGCGACACAGACTTGGACCACAACGGAGACAGCGACAAAAACCACTACAACGATACCCAGCTCAGGCAACGTGACTGCCGTCGAGAAACATCTGCCTCTGTCTCCCAGGGGAATCGCGGGTGTATCAATCGAAGCCATTGTGGTACTAGCTCAGCTGGTTGCGCTTCTCTACGTTCTATATCAGTTGCGCCTGCGTCAGAAGGCTGATTATGCACGGCTTCGAGGCTTGAATCGTAAGTGTTTGTCTATCGTTTCGGATATCACGGACTATCTTGGAGAGCAAGTCGACAACCTTTGATGTGAAGGGCGTGCGTTTTCCCGCCGAGATTCTCGGCGGCGGGGTAGCCGGTAAATGTCGAAATTAATTTGTAATTAAGAGGGCCGTCATGATAACAACCGCTTGAACGCTCCGGCGGCGTGAAAATCCTGGCTGTATGTCGAAGCCTGCTGTCCACTTGAGCGGCGATTCATTGGCGCCCGTTGCCAAGTCACCTACTTGTGTGTTGGCCCGCCACTTGGCACTGTGAGCTGAAGAGCTATAACCTATGAATGGTGTTTGATCCTCACACGGTCGCGCCTACGCACTATACATGGTGTGGGATCGGCACAAGAGTTCGTTCTGATGACATCCATCACTTGTTCATCATTATTTCCAGGGAATGCTACTAGTGAATACACACTGCCAGTGGTCGCTGATGAATGCAACGCAGGAGTACAGGCAACGTTAAATATTTGCCTTCACTCAGTGCCCTTCATTCCAAGGATAGTTTCGGTACAGGAGTCCAGTCCACGGCTCGGCGTCGCTCGCAAAACAACGGTGAATTACACATCTTTGCAGCGGCGGTCGTTTCGGAAGGCTGTAATATATAATATGCGAGCTTCACAACGTGCCCAGTGGGTGGACAGATCATCATGATTCTTATATTCATTTGCCACCAAATTCTCGATTTCGATGCATGTGTATCCAACGCCACTGCCGTCCCAAGGCCATTTTTGATAATCATCCCTTTCGGATGGGTGGGATAATGGAGGAGGCTGTGTGATATACCAATGAGTAGGATACCTTTGACTGCCGGAATCTATCTTGACGGCAAGCCTCAAAGGCTGTTCGATCCCACTACAAGTTGATATCCCATGGGAGGTATCATGCCAATCAAATAAATGTAGGAGCGCCCTGAGAACATATAACAGACCGAATGAATCGAGAGTACACCTTCCCCAACTTTCCTCTATATAGATGGATAGGATTGACGACACCGACATTCGTATCAGCTATGACCCTTCCAATGCCTGGAATAACTCAAATAACGGCCAATATGATTGGATGGGGACTTCCCATACGCCGACCACGCTGGAAAGCAATATTACACTTCACTTTCAAGGTAGGTTCATTGAAGTGAGAGGCTCGGGGGAGTGCTTATTTAAATTTACAACCTTAGGTCAATATGTTGGTGTCTTCGGCACAATACAGGACCGAGACACAGTACCGAACCTATACATCATCGACGATGGCCTGCCTCAGTCATATACACGGTCCTCGGCAACCCCCCACCCGCCATTCCACAACCAGATCTTGTTCAGTTCTGACCCACTTTCTGAAGGAAATCATACACTCG